TGGGGTGTCAGCCGCCCCTCCAGCCCCGCGCTGCCACCACCGTTCGTCTGGGCTGGAAGATAAGAGCAAGCCATCGGTGCAGCTGGTTTGCTGCTTTTTGGGGGGCCCAGCTCCCTTTGGAAGCCTGGAGAGGGCTGGGAAATGGGGAGACCCTGAGTGCAGGGAGGGCTGGGTGCAGGGTGGGTACCTGAGCTCAGGCGCTGTGTGTTCTGCTGATCTTGCTGCTGCTGCTGCTGCCTCCTGGCGAGCTTCTTCATCTGGTCAAGAAGAAGGGGAAAAAAACGGGATGAAGTCATCTCCTGGCCAGAGTGAGGAGGGAGGGGAGCCCTGGAACCGGCCGCTGGTGGTGGGCTACCCCCGTGCACCCACCTTTGCTCGCTGGTTCTGGAACCAGACCTGCACCACGCGAACGCTCAGCCCCGTCTCGGCCGCCAGCGTCTCCCGCACCTTGGAGAAAGGAACAACAGCAGTGTCTCAGCCCACTCAGCTTTTCGGGAGCACTTTAGGAGGGGACAGAGCAGTCGGGGCAAGTACTTGCCCAGCATCCAGGACATCCCTGGGGGCTGGAGGAGGCGGAGCACGGGCCTTTCTCCTCATACCTTCCTGCAGGGCTTGGAGGAGACCTCAAATGATGCCTTGAATGCTCTCCGCTGCTGCGTGGTCAGGATTGTCCGGGGTCTCTTGGGCCGCTTGTGATCCTTCCCGTCCTCGGCACCCTTCCCCGAGGCTTGGCCCAGTTTGCAGATGCTGTCCTCATCTTCACTTTTGCCTAAGGGGGAGGGGAAAAAAAAAAAAGCAGGTCCTTTACAGACAATGGGCCGTGCACACCATTTTCCAGCACGTCCAAAACAAGCTGCTGTTGGTGGGGATCTTCTTGTGAACGTGTGTGAGGAGCTGAGGTTTGGGACTAGCTGACCCGTGGCAGCTCAGAGAGGGAGAGAGCGGCTGTGGCTTATAGTCTGGGGTCGCTCATCCAGCAGATGTGCTTTTTTGGTTCTTTTCCCCAACAGTCTGAGCAGCTGCAATGTGAAACCCTGGGATACCTGATTTTCCCTTCATCAGATCCAAATCCCTGCTTGTTCCACAGGGATTTCCTGCCAAGCCACAGCTGGGGACACATCTGGACAGAGACACACAGGTCACATCCACAAGAAGGGACAGCAGACATCGAGGACCACTGTGCCCCTGGGGCTGTCGCCCCCAGCCCAGCTGGTGGCCAGGCATCTGGTCCCTCTGCCTGGACAGCCCATGCTGGGGGAGGTCAGGGTGCAGGGTGAGCAAAGATGCTCAGAGAGGGCAACGCGTTAGCCAAGACCTCACAAACCCCTCCTGATTTGTCCCACCATGGAGGTCAACTCCGTTTAGAGCACAGACTTTTAATCACAAATACAAGGGGCACCTTTTCACCTATATTTCCCCCCTTCCATAGAGTTTTAAATCTCCCTGGACAGAAGCCCAGGCTGCTTCGAGCTTCACACCGCGGGTGCTCACTGCGATGTGCTGCTCCGTTGTGTTCCCAGGCACTGGTGTGTATCTCCCTGCTGCTCTCCACTGCTTGGGGCCGCGGGGCCTTCGGGCAGGAGCTGCTCCGGGAAAGCAGGCAGCACTGCCCTGCCTCTTACCATCCCTCCTCATTTACCGCATCACCACTGTATTGATGACCTCACTTGCATAGGAGAGCTGTAATGCGGGTTTGACAGCACAGGTCCTTTCCTCTCACAAGCCGTAAATCGCTTACAGCCTTTTCCAGAAAGCTCCTCCACCATCTGTTTGGGAATTGATAATGGAGCTGAGGTGCTGGTTCGATGCAGATGCAGGTTGCAAGGCTGTGCTCAGCCCGAGTCCCGTCCCGGGGCTGCTGCGTCTCTGGGAGATGGGGATGCACCAGGGGATTGTCAGCCTGGCCCAGAGTTCATGGCTAAAGCAGGTCAGGTCCTACCCCATGGCAAGAGCTAATCATGGATTAGAAAAGTGTAATTCCAATGGCGGCCCATTTGGGAACGGGGAAAGACAGGAGCAGATCTCCGGGGCGAAGGGAGGCAATGATCCCAGCAGAGAAGCAAGGATGCTCTCCAGTAAAAGTCACCTCTTCCCTCCACGCTGCTGGGCTATCTCCTGGGTTCACCGGCCGATACAGAGACCTTCCCTGTGATGAGGGCTGGGAGGGCTGGGACAGGGAGAGATGTCCACGCTGGTGGTCCCAAAACCAGCCCGGAGCTGGGTGCTGGCCCCTGGGAGCCAGTGCCTTGCTGCTGCTGCTCACCCACAGCACATCCACGGCATGCCAACAGCAGCAACGGGAACGGGAACGGCAAACTGCTGCCTTCTTGCACGTCCCAACGCGAGGTACGTAGTAATGCAGTAGGTCTGAGAGCCCCAGCGCTGGGCACCGCCAGGTCCTGTGTGGGGGTTGGGGCGTGCCAGCGCCTGCCGCTGGCTCCTTTTCAGTGCCAGCACAAGCAGGATCTCTGCTTCGCTGAGCTGCTTGCTTTCCTGAAACCTGAAGGAGTTTAATTTTGATGGAAGTGTAGACAAATTTACAAATATTGGGAAAAGGAATGTCAACCAATGGAGACATTTCGGTGCCTGAACAGCTTTGCACCCTAAGATGAGGTGAGCGCCCCAATCCCCTCCAGTCCAGGAGGGGCAGAGCCCGGAAAGGGGGAGCCAGACGCTCATGTACTCTATCAAGCAAATGATGCTCAAAACCCACACCAAGGGGGAAAACCCGCTCGGAGCAGCCCCCCCGCCCTGAGCCCTCCCCCCCCACAACACCTGCTCCCCAAATCCTTCCCCGTGTCAAAGGGAAAG